TTAGAATAATGACTGAAATGCTCTAAGGTCAAAGCTGTATTCTGTGGGCTTTCTAAATTTCCACATTTATCTCCCTGGTGCATCCACCCAGCACCCCTGATGCTTTGGGCAGGTACTTGATTGCTTTTTGCAGTTACCTGGATCAAACTCTGTGTGACATGAAAAGTGTATGTGCAGTTTATGAACTGTACCTTTTGTACTGCCCATTGGAAATGTATGCCTTCACTTCCTCTTACTGGAAAACAAGTTTTCTGCTGTTAAGAGTAATAGAAGGAACAGGGGAGGGTTGAAGGAAGCACAGGCAAGGGCACAGAGAACAAAAAAGTTGCTTTCTAGTGTGACATTGTTTCAAAGTTACCCACTTTTCCCCCTAGTTTCTAGGAGTAGGAGAAACAATATTACACTTAAAAGAATGATTCTGGGACTTCAAATGTATGTTAATTTTGTGCATACATAACCTGAACATTAACCTTTGTAGATTAAAGCTAAGTCACTATTTCTGCTTCATTCAATGTAAGATTATAGCAGCTGTCTTTTTTTTTTTTTTGTCAGACTTCTAGTACTAAGACCTGTATCTGTACCTAGTCGTTTAAATCTACTCCCAACTCTGTAAAACAATTATGAGCACAAGAAGCAAAAAATGTGACTCGTTTAAGATTAGCTCTCAAGTTTGCCCCAAATAGCCCTGTCCAGCAGCAGTCTTATGGTTTTGGCCTGGTGGGGATCTCTGCTGCCCTCTGCACAAGCAGCACAGGATCTTTGCTGGACTTGTGTGTGGATTGTGTGTGCATAGCTGCCCCTAGCACATGAAAGAAATACGACAGATTATACTGAGGATTATGAAGTTGTAGTAGGGGTGGACACTGCTATTGTCAAGGCAAGAGCCACCACAGCCTAACTCCTGCTCTATGCCATGTGTTGTAACTGCAGCCAAAGACACACTGCTGTGCACCAGAAAGCACAAGAGGAGCCTACACTGGCTGACCCAAAGCAACGCATGAAAACAGCTGAGGTTGCTGTGAAAGAGGAAGCTGGGGGACAAGTGCCAGTTCAGCTGCTTTATTGCAGCCTTGCACTTGCACAAAGCAGAGGAAGGGCAGTTGCAAGCAGGTAAGTTAGCATGGAAAAAACCCACAAAACAAATACTGCTTGTTGTTCTCCTTTATCTAGTTTGTACAAAATCTCTTGTAATGTGTTATAACTTGGAGGCATCTTCTGGAGAGGCACAGATTCCCATGTGGAATGTGAAGTGGTGCTCTGCAAGGAATCAGTGTAAATTTGTGAACTGCGTTTCTACTCAAATAGCTTTTCTCTCTTTGGCCAGGTGTGGCAGGAAAACCTACCCCCAATAGGACCTAAAATCCAACACAATGCAAGCTATCAAACTGCTGGTGCCAAGGGAGCTCTCTTGGTATTAAAATATGCTAAGACCATCCTGGTTCACCAGACCTTGAACACACATCTTGCTATTGAAACAGTATTTGACAGATAAGCTAGTCTGCTGGCTAGTAGATCTGTGAGTAGCAGTCAGTGACTTTATACCATTAAAGTCCAGCCCCCTTGCATACAATGAGGTTCTTCTAATACAACCCTTCTTGGGGTGTATGTGTGGAGATTCCTCCCTTGGCTGGGCACATCCTCCAATGTTACTCCTAGAGGTTGAGAGAAAAAGATCTCCCCATGAGCATTGGTATGGGCGAGTTACATCAGATCTCTACTTAATAATTATTTCTGTCTGCTTGTTTTAATACAACTGCTTCAATAATTGCTTTGTTACAGTGCACTATACTACTTTATGCTATATTATACTCCACTAGTAGATTTTTAGTGTTTATATCGTGTAGTAAATAGTTATGATTAAGATCTTTTGTCTGATCATTTGCATAAAATGAATTATTCATTTTATATAAATATTCTCATTTTGTCAATCTATAAATATTCTAATTTTGCCAAAATTAAAACATGCGGGACAAAACTTGTTCAATCATACCTCTATAATTCCTTAAGTTTAAACCATTAACATAATCTGAGGCTAAGATTGGGTTTAGCTGCACCTGGACTCCTCTCTGAGACGGGGTTTAGAAAGCAAGGAAGTCCTTTCTGTACCTCAAAACTCATTGGCAAGACTTTGCTTTTTAATAACTTTGTTTAAGACTTCCACTCCCACCCATGACACCAGGTTAGGAGAAGGTAGATGTCTTCAGTACTAAAACACACTAAGAGAAAATTCATATTAATAGCAAATTATCAGGATGTTGCCACCAAGTGTTGGACTGGAAGGTGAGAAGGGGCAGAACTGTCCAGGGCTTCTGGATTAGAGCTGAACTACTGCCATGGTCTGAGCTGAAGCCTTACCAATTTGAGGTCATATCCTCAGATAGACTGACAAGGCAGCAGCTACTGTGTATTTCGCTTTCCAAAGGAAGAAAGTATAATAATTTCATCCCTAAGAACTGGTGCTATTGGAAATGCTTCCATAATATTCTTAGGTGAAACAACAGATGCCTAAGTAAATAAGAAATTATGGCAATGCTCCTGCTTGTGAAGGTCTGAATAAGTCAGTTCAGCATAAGCAAAATTTAGAACATGTATTCAAATCACCAGTCTGTTTAATGTTTATGTGCAAAGAACATGCTAAAGAGAGAGATATGACATCCAAATACTCATTTGCCTGTGGAAAAATAGCGCCAAGTTAATACATGAAAACAATTGTACATCTTCAATGTTAAATGAGCAGGAAACATAAACAAGACTAAACAAAAATTAGCCTGAAACCTATGATGCCACACCAAAGGAATGACAGTATGATAGAAAGAGGTAACTTTTCAGTATTATCATTTTATATCTATACCTTGTCTTTTCAACAGAGGCTGCTCAGATTCTCAGTTACACCTGGCAAGTGATGAAGTGTGATGATCCTTTGAATCACAGGTAGTACACAGCACAGTAATATTTAAGAAGACTCTTGTGTCTTTCACTCCTTTAAAAAAAAAGAAAAGGAAAATTATTATATGTCGGTAATGGAAAAATCAGTCCTTTGAGAAGGGGTTTTTGCAGCTGTGGAAATTTCTGCAAAGTTGCCTCTTTGCACAAAGACAAATTAAGTATGTAAGGTTGGTACAAGTCTTTTTCTTTTTTTCCTCTTATTTATTAAACCTGTTCTGGAATAATAATTCTACATACAACTATTGCAGATTTTCCTCCTTTCTAATACCTTCTTTTCTATGCAATATATTTTTATATAACTTAAAAATTTATATAATTTATATAATTTAAAAATATTTAAAAACTTTTTTATGTCTTATTTTTCATTTGCATTCCAACTTATTGCTGAAGGATTTTCAGATTTGCAGCAAAAGGAGATATATCTCCAGATGTAGTATGTTTTTTTTCTTTCTTTCTTCTCCTCTGTGTACATACTATTCTAGAAGAACATTTAACAAAAAGACTATTCAGTGTAAAAAACTTCCTCATGTAGAACTGCAGTAACATGATATACCACACACCCACTTGTGTAGTCTTTATCAATAACAACAGAAACAGCATCGTGATAAAAATGTATGATTTAACTCAGTCATTTGGGGAGTATATTTATTCAAGATCCTTCAAGCGGAGATGAATAGAAGGTTTCTAAATGTGATATTATGAGGGTAAGCAAATGAGTCATTGTTTGTATTCTAGTGAAATGGAGTTGGGCAAGAACAACACTAGGAGAGGGAATAAGCAGTCATATCTAACTGTTTATTCTATTACATTCATCACCACGGGGCGTATCTGTGCATGTCAGGTCAAGGTCAGTGATCCTTGTTCACATGAATCATTCTCAGTGCTAATGAAAAACACCCCTGATGCAGCGTGTTCAAACACCATCAGCTTCAGTAGACCACACTTCTGACTCACTTCTGCAAGTCGAAATTCACAGGTGAGGCAGAACGGCTGGAGCTGGGGGAGTTCAGGGCTTAGGATGGATAAGAGTTCAAAAGGGGCTGTTGGAGGAGATTGGCATTGAAAAGCAAAAGGATAATTTGTAACTAGAGGACAAAACAGTGCCATTATGTGGCAGGTTAAGGCTCCTTTACACCTTGACTGTTTGAGTTTCAAAGCCAAAGAGTCTTTCAAAATGAAAAATGAATTAAAAAATGCAGCTTGGTTCTGAGTCAGCTTCCAAATAATAAGTTTTAAAGTTATGATAACAATAAACCCTAATTATCTTTCTCCACAAGTTTCTTGAAGTCAAGGAAAGAGAGATGGAATATAGTGGCACAGAGAGAAGGGCTTATTAGTTGACAAGGTGGTTAGGTCATAGGTTGGACTTGATGATCTCAACGGTCTTTTCCAACCTACCTGATTCTGTGATTCTTCCCCCCCACCTACCTGCCCTTCCAATCAGTACAAATTCTGCAAAATTTTCTTTGTATTTCAATGTCCAGACAGAAAGAAGGATACACCTTGTGAAAGTGTTGATTTCACATAGATATATATGTGTATGAAAAATTAAAAATTGACCATGGAAAAACTTTTCAGGGCTGTTGCAGTGACTACTATAGTTTGATATGCAAGTGGGTTTATTACTAAGATTGCTAACAAAAGCTATGTGCATTATTTGTACTTAGGAAACACCCTGTTCTGCCAAATCCTTACGACTAAAAATGCATTTCAAACTACGTTTTCTTGTCTGAAACTTGCTAAAATTGCATCTCTCTGCACCTGTAACTTTTTAATCATTACATCTGATGTTAAGACAACAAATTTCAGAGAACATTCTGTATCTTGCATTGCAGTAATCGTTTTACAGAAATTTTGGCGGCCCCATGCCGAAGCAAAGGGAGGAACTCGGCGGCGGGGGGAGTCCCCGGGACTCTAGCGAGGAAGAAGAGGGTACTCCGCGGAGGTGAGGGAGGGAGGCAGGCAGGCTGCTGTCTCACCACACATGGGCTTGTGGGAAGTGGGAATCTCAGGTTGAGTTACTCATCGGTATGGAGTCAGGAGTGTGCACAACCAATGATTTTGATGGCAGGAGGTAACGTACACATGTTTTTCAGAGAAGGTGCTGCAGGAGGACTAGCCAGCGGGCAGGAGGAGGTTTGTGCCGAGGGCTGTCATTTGCTAAGCGTGGAAGCCTTCTGGTCCCGGGAGCCCATCGCCGCCGCCTCTGATGCTCTCCCTCCCAACGGTACGAAGCGAGGGGGCGGCGCACGGACCCGGCGGGGCAGGGGACCGGGGGCCGGGCGCCGGGCGCCGTCCCCGGGGAGCGGGGCGGGGGGCGCGGGGCGGTGCTGCCCGGAGCTTGGTGCTGCCCGGAGCTTGGTGCTGCCCGGAGCTTGGTGCTGCCCGCCCGCCCGCGCTGATTGACACCGGCCCGGGCGGAGGCGGGTCCGCCGGGACAGCGCTGCTCCCGCCGCCCTTCGCCGCCGCCGGGCAGCGGGTCCCGCGCTCCAGCGCCGCCCCCGCGCTCTCCCGCTGGGAATCGCGGAGCGCGGCCGCCCGCGGCATGGCCGGCTGGCTGGGCAGGGGGACGGCGTGCTGGCGGATGCGGAGCGCGGCGGGAGGCAGGAAGGAGAAGCCGGCGGGCGGCAAGCCCCAGCCCCGGCACGGTAAGCGGGCGGCCGCGGCGGGGCTCGGCAGGGCGCCCACCGGGGCGGGACGGGCAGTCCCGAGGTCCGCGCGGGGCAGCCCCGGGGCCAACTTGCCTGTGACTTGTTTTACCCACTCGGCTCCTGTGGGGCAGGGGGATCCTTTTCTCCTTTATCCTCCAGCGGGCGCGGAGGGAGAGGAACTCCCTGCTCCCAAATTCCGCGGACCTACGTCTCATGTCTTTTATTTGCCGAGGACAGGAGAGAGGAACAGTGTTCGCGTGCGTTTTGGCATCTTGCTTTGATAGCGGTTCTTTGATTGTTTTTGTAGAAAGCATTTGCAACCTGGCAAACGCCAGTGAACCTGGGAAGAGTCCCCGAAACCTCTTTTGGCTTTCATGATCTTAATGCCCGGAAAGCACTGTTGAAAATATTGCCCTGTGTGGTCTTGTCTCCTCCTCCCTTTCGGGGAGATAGATGCTCCCTTCCAAGGCTAGGCAGCACACAAACAGTTCTTCCAAAATCAGATCCTGACTTTGAAGACATAGAAGGGAGTGGTGTTGCACGAACTATTGAAAACAAGTGTTGAGGTTCATGACCCTTGTGTTCTGAACACTGAATGCAGTTTATCCAGAGCCAAATCTGCCATGTACGGTTTCCTTTCTGTACTGCTTGGCTGTCACCGTTGTCTGCTTTGAGGAACAAACCCAACTGTTTGTGGATCTGATTGCAATATCTGGAAATCTCACTAGAATTTGTTCTAGCTGTGTGTTCCCCTTGGGTTTTAAGTCCTCTGTTCGAGTAAGTGGGTTTGCAGAAGTCTCTGACCTAACCCCTAAAGGGTAAAGTAACAGTTTAAGTTGTGCTTGAGTTCTGCGTTAATTTGTGTTGGTTTGTTGTTGGATATGTTAGTCCCCAAAGTAACTTTATGTCTTTTCCTGAGAAAATAATTGAAGGAGTAATTTGTACTCTTCACAAGTCCACAGGGCACTGTAGCTCATGCAGTAATCCTGATGAAAAAGATGTTGGGACGATGGGGAACCTGGCATCTCAGGCGATGGCGTTTTGAGAAGATGCTTGTTATGAAAGTAATACCCCCAGTGCAGGTCTAAAATGAAAGAAAATTCAGCGTTTCTCTCACTGCCTGTCACCTGGATATTTCTGAGCCAGAGTGCTTTTACAGCAACACCTCCTTTTCTGTTTTGCTTTTTTGTGACTGCTTCACAAGCCAGAGGAAGCAGACTAAAAGTCTGAATAAAGATTATCTAGTTAAAGAATAAAAGTGGCTGTTTAAAAATAGTTGTAAATATTTATCCTATTAATTCTGAGTGTAATGCTGCTTGTGGGGGAATAACTCACATGGGAAAAATAGTTGATGGGATTCCTTTAAACTGTATACCTGTTATATGTGAGTACTATACAGTAGCTAGACACACAGACCAAAACTGCGGATGTAGTGAAGTTGGTGGGATTTTGCCACTGACCTGAGCCAGAACTGAACCCACAGACGGTGTGGTGTAATGTGTTGGACCAAACTGTAAACATTTGACTGATTCAGCTATGCAATTGTGGCAAAGTTTATAATCCTGCATATGTTGCTGTGATTTATATATTATCAAAGTAGGTCTACCATAAATTAATTAAATTAGGGAGTTATTTTATAACTTAGATCTAAGTCACCTTAAGAAAAAAGGTGTGGTGTGTTTCAGTCTATCAGGGTTGTTTCTTATAAATGTTTTCTAAAGTATTATATGACACTAAATTCTCATTTAAGTAATTGCTGCAACAATGTGGAACACTAAATTACACTGCAGCCCATACAGTTTGCATCCCAATTAGTTTTCAACTGTGACTTAAAAATAAGCACTCTTTCTGCTATGTTGTCTTTGCAGGGCGTCCTAGATTTAGTTACCTGATTATTTACTAACCTTTAACAGCTCCAAATGTAAGGTAAAAAAGTGAAATTAGACCTAATTTGCATGTCCCTGATACTGCTTGTGTGCTATAAGGAAATTTTTGGGTAGAAAACCAAAAATCACTATTACTTTAGTATGCATCCAAAAATTTAAAAGTTACAGAAACAATCTGTTTTCCAAGAAGGGACTTTTAAGTAAATTTCAGCTTTTGTAAGCAGTATTGATCAATTCATGCAGGAATGGAAAATTTACTTCAAATGTTTAAGCCAAAGCATTAGAGAGGCTATAAGTAAGATATATGTAAAAGTAAAATTGTAGTATATGAGCTGTCAACACTTTTTAACTGGCAAACAGACTTACAGGTTTGAGTCATTCATGTGTACAAGCATGCAATTATCAAAGTGAAGTGAGAACTATTCACAAGAGAACTGGGATGTATCAGAACTATGAATTACTTTCTATATTGGGCAGTAATATTCTTTGCTACTCTCTGGTTTTGCTGCAAAACCATTTCAATGGGCTACCAGCCTGTGTTGGTAAAAAGTGTCGTAGCTCTATGGATCTCAATGGCACTGTTATGATTGACACAAGCACAATATTTCTGTGTATATTTGGATTAAGATATGTTTATTTGGGCATCACTTAAGGGTCTAAATTGCCGGGGTGCATATTGGGTTGCACCTGAGCAAACCTGCCATTTAACTGAGCCAAGCTACAAATATTTTTCAGCTTTGACATTCTTCTCACTTGTTAGGTGAGGAATTATGGAGACTTTTTTATACTTTTCAAATACTTTAAAACACAAATATGAAAATTGCCCTGTGATCTCATGTGCAGAAGTTCTTGTTTTACACTTCTTGTAGTTTCATACCATGTAAAGCAATATAAAGTAGAATTAGATTTCCACCCATTGTGGTCTAGACAGTAAATTAAGTTTTTGTCAAGACTCCAGCAAAAAGTTCAAGATCCTGTTAAAATTATTAAAATTAATGGTCTTGTAAAAAGCCTATTTTTAAATGATTTAATGTTGGGTTTGCGTTGGCACCTTATCTGTAAAACTTCCCTAGAGCTTGAAAACTGAGCTGGACAGCTATAGCCAGAATTCTATTACAAACACTCTCTAAGCAGAAGATGTTAAGGAGTAGCATAATGAAAACCACAGTGCAAATCAAGTAATATTTTACTGTACTGCTTAAGAAAACTTTGAAATTCTTTTATGAAAAAATCTCCTCCCTTGAGGAGTAGATATGGAAAGTTTGTGACTAGAAGTTGTGAATCAGAAATATGTTTTAAATTACTTGATACCACCAGAAATAACTTATGGAGAAAAAGCAAGCCTTAAAAGGGATATAAAATATATGTGAAAGTTAGTATTAAAACAATTACCAGGGAAAACCAGCACAAGTAAGTAGTGCTGGAGGAAGGTATAGGAGTGTGTTTGTGCACATAGGTGTAGTTTTGGGCAGAAAACGACTTCTTAATTTATTTGATTTTTTAAAAATCGCTCACAAAATGTGCCAAATTTAGACTGGGAAGTGGAAGTCCTCTGTGCTTCAACCAGCACAGTGAAATCAGTTTTCAATGCCAATATGCTGGATCATGCCAAGGTAGGATGGATGAATGAACGTGAGATATAGCAACACAAACCTCTTTTTCACCTGGACCCACTGACTAATTTTAGTTTTCACCTGTTGAGCTGTCACAGAACAAGACAAAAACTGTTGTTACCTTTTTTGTTTGGTGTAATGGAAAGGTTGTGGTATGGCAAGGGTAGAAGTCAATATATTATCACTGCAGAGAAGTGGGCTCTTCTAAAGGTGTTGAACTGATGAAAGAGTGGAGAGAGGGGGAAAAAACTCTACAGACCTGTCCATTGTTTTCTCCTTCTATAAACCCTGTTGTATGCACGTATGCTAGCAACTCCTGGACTGGACTAATTCCACGCTTGACACTAGGGTAATGAAGTTGTACTTGAGCTTTCCAGTTTCAGATGTTCTCATCTTTGCACATTTCTTCTTGAAATATTCAGCAGTGTGTTTCACTATTCTCTGTTGGCTTGTTCCTTTTTTTCCTTCTCTTTCTCCTGGGAAATAATGTTCTTGGTCATATTGAGGCAGTCATAACCAAATCTGTTTTGGTGGAGGTGTAGTTCTCCATGCCTCACTTTTTACACGTGCCTTATTGTAGTATTTGTAAAAATAAATGTCTAAAATACATGTAGGTGTTTGTATATATATGTTTACATATATACGCTTAATATAAAGGAATAGAAATTTTCTTCTTGAAGCAAGTAAACAAATTCTCTGTGATCAGTGGGAATAATCTGCAGGTAGACTTTAAGTATTAAAGTATTTTTCTAGCCTATATGTTGAAGAAGTGTGAATATTGATGTTATTTCTGTTTAGATCTACTGACGCTTTGATTCCTGAGACACTTTTGGGGTCTCACTAGTCAGTGTGTGTGTTTACTGTGTGTAATGCAGACCTTGCTTTGAAGGCCAAATGGATGGATAAAGGGTTTGACCTGGAGAATAAGAAGGGTTGGTTTACCAAACATATTTTGACTTGCTTAGTCTTTCCCCCTTTTCCTTGATGTAAGTGCTAGCTGTTACCTCTTTCTGGTGGTTTTTTTTTTTTGTTTTTTTTTTTTTTTTTTTTTTTTTTTTTTTTTTTTTTTTTTTTTTT